GCACTAATGATAAAATGTATCAGTATCTTTAGATCTTTCTGTTTCTTAGACTATGGTCTGTTTGCCTTGCTGTAGGCTCGATTGAGTAAAGTTACAGTCTTTTACTGTCATCCAGCAGGCAACCGACTGAAATAATACAGCATTCTAATAAATATGGCAGCACAAAGCCTTGATACATAATAAGAAGCAGTTTAAAATCAGTACAAAAATAGATGAGTAGATTGTTCTGGATTCTTCTGGAAATGAAATACACCTTTTTGAAATTGTCTGAACTGGTCTTTCTGGTGTTTAACATTAAGGTGTTATTGATTAGATCACCAAAGGAGAGCATGTTGAAAATGAACAAAACAGTGGGTGGTATATGAAATCAAACAGAGCATTTGATTCAAGGAAGTTGAGGTCAACCCACACTCTTAATTTTCCAAGACTCTAGTGACCTCATAACAACAAGCCCACGTAACACACACACACACAAACACAAATACATATACAACTGCTTAGTGTACTTTTTTCAGACGTTTCATTGTCAAGGATTTCACCAAGTCTCCTTTTTAGGGAGTTTCAGGGAGACAGAACGCTAATTCCTCTTTATTGGAACTACACACCAGCCTTTAGGGATTCAGGACAAAAAAATTCCTTGAAGTATTTTATGTTCTAGAAAGCTGTTTGACCCAATGATTAGGAGGTAACTGTAGAAATATTGTATTAACATGACAAAGTAACCTTTCAGGAAGGTGTGCTTGCATGAATTAGCCAACAAAGCTCAGCAGGATTGTTCTGAAACAAATATTTTGCTATTTATTTATTACCTATACATTTAGCTATTCTACTAAATATAGGGGTTGACATAGTGGCATCATCATTATCAAAATACTGAGCCACTTTACACTTAAACCCATGCCACTTTTACTCTATGATTTTGTATACTTGGGCCAATGAGCCCAAAATCAGCTTTAATTCTAAGATAAAGCGGTGTGGCCTAGTACTTCTATCTTTATACTTTATACCTTAGTAAGGTTATAACTAAAAGCTACATAGTTTGTTTGGTCCTTCCATAAAAATGTCTACTGTATGGGCATCAACCTTCACCCATTGGTTTTGGATTGCTGTGGGCAATGTTTGAAGGCGTCCAGTATAGCTGTGAGATACCCCAAGAGTTCATTTTCTGTGCACCAATCATTACTGTTGATAGCTGGTAAAAGAGAAATTGCCCTCAGTTTTAGAACCAGTGGCATTTCAGCAAATGCATTTCCTCCTTTGTTTGTACTCGTGTACTCAGAATAGAAGTTGGGGGGGAGTGGAATTTACCAAGCATGTCCAAGTGACCTTAAAATGAAAGGAACACAGTGCAGTGATACTTGCTTCTAGAACAGACTTTAGCATTGGATAAGATCTATTAGTAAAAAGAAATGTCCTCAAGTTAAGAACATGAAAAGCAAAGAAAAGTAATGAGGTAGTAATCCATCAATAACAAAGATGGAGTATTTTTTGTGAAACAATTACTTTAAACAAACCCGTGTTTTGGACTTGAAAGTTAGCCCTCTATTTAAGTGAACCACGCTACACACAGTGACCACACTAGCCCACAGTGGATCAAGGAAAATTATGATACTTACCCAACAGTCATAGCCTTAAAATCTATCCCCATGGCAGCAGGTAAGAAACATGAATCAATGATTTGGGAAGAGCAAATTCAATGGATTCAATGGGCAATATTTGTATTTGCAGAGACATTTCCTCTGGAACGTCTGTCTTTTTAAAATGAAAAACCCCTGAGAGAAATGAAAGTATGTTGTGGTGTCTGTTCTTGGTTTTTTTTTTTTTTACCAACACACTGGGTCATAACCTCAGCTGGCCCTACTTTCTAGCTATTAATCTCCAACACAATGCCACTTCTGACAGGCATGTGTATGAGACATACTGTACAAATGACTCTGCTGCAGATGCATGAAAGTGCTTGCAGATGCTCACAGTCACAGGCCGCCACTGTAAGAATATAAATGCCCCTCACCCATTCATTCATCCTCTGTCCAAAGCTCCGGTGTCTCCCTAAGAGGTGAGCCCAATAAGATCTCCTGCAAAGCTTTTTTTCTCCTCTCTCCGAACAGTTGCTCAGAGATGCAACACAGTACTGCTGCATTTAAAGAAAAAACATGTCTCAAACAGCATATGCACTGTAAGGAAAAAAAGTCACACTACATCAGGAATTTTCCACCTCCTGCTCACTACGACTGTGCATCTGTTGTTCACAGCTATCCTGTTGAGAAACATCACTCATGTACATGTAGAGGAAAAAGCCCTCTGCGTATGTGCATGTGTGTAGTTGTGTGTGTGTGTGTGGTTTTGTGTGTGTGTGTGTTGTTAGTCAGTCATGCGGCCACAGTAATTTCCCTGAGTGCCGCCTGTTTCTCTGTAAGGCCTGACTCAGACAGAGATGACCTCACCACCGAATGGCAGGTTGTATGTTTTCATGTCAGCAGGGGTTGGTTTGGTGTGAGTGTGCGTGTGTGTGTGTTTGTGTGGGTGCCTGTGAGTTTTTATATTGTTGTTGCGAAGACCTAAAAAGGAAGAGGTTTGATTCCCTTACATTAAAGCGCTGCTGCTTGAAGCTTCATTGCACTCTAGAATGATTAAAGGATGACTTGACGTTTATAAAAGCATCACCTGCTTGTCATGGGTTAAAAGAGATGAAATGGAGGAAGATTATCGCAGATGCCAGCTAACGCTCTCGGGGGAACTCACATCATCCCTCTGTTTGCTTTTTCCACTCCTCCAAACCCTCATCTCTGTTCTCCGCTTCCATCCAGATCTCTAAACCTTTCCGCTTCAGCCTTGAAACGACAGAGATGCAGAAATGGTGTTGGGTTTTGGGGTGTTTTTTTTTTGCCTCCTTCAACCTTTCGTTCCCCTGCCTCTCATATGATTCCCTTGAGTATTACACACTGCTGTCACTGTGTGTGCATGTGTGTGTGTCTGTGGTGCGCCACGCTGAGGGCCTCTTTATTTAAGAAATAGCAGCTGCACAGAGAGTGAGATACAGAGAGAAAGACTTTTGAATGTTGCTCAGTAAGGGCACCCTCAGTACTTTCAGTCGCTTGTAGCTGTGCACATGCAGGTTAGGATGTGCATATGTTCTGTAGCACAGTATACACACACATGCATATGCATCAATTAGCAACATCTTAATCCATAAATGCCACACCTGCACACTAATATATATACATATATATATATATATAATATATATATATATATATATATATATATATATATATATATATATAATATATATATATATAAAACATAAAATATATTTTGTTTTTGTTAATACTGTATACTGATAGCACAGACTGTATATAAAAGATGGAAATAACTGGCTCTGACTAAAAAAATGTTCATGGACTTGTTATTCACATGTTTGTCTCAATAAGCTCGCCCTGCTTGACTGTTTACTTACAATACAATACAATAACTGTACAGTAACTGGCTCGATGGAAGAAGACTACAGTGGTCCAGAGAGGTCAAATAGATTGCAACTTAAGTAGCAAATAGAAAAATGCTGCAAGAGCACACAAATAACAACAGAAAAAGAAAAAATAATGGCACAGACCAAGTGACAGAAACCAAAACGTGAAGGATTTCCCTCAGACACACTTAAAGTGGTCTTTGTGCTGTGTCAGGCCCATCCATCCATCCATTCACTTATCCTTTTCTTCAGGGTTTTGGGCGGGCGCTGGAGCCTATCCCAGCTCTCATAGGGCGAGAGGCAGGGTACACCCTGGATAGGCCGACAGTCTGTCACTGGGCTAACACACAGAGACCGAAAACCATTCGCACCTATGGGCAATTTAGATTGATCAATTAACCTATCCCCACTAATTGCATGTTTTCGGACTGTGGGAGGAAGCCAGAGTAGCCGGAGAGAACATGCAAACTCCACACAGAAAGACCCCGGTCTGATGCTGGAATTGAACTTTCTTTTCGTAAATGATGCTTCCTTTACTTCCCATCCCTTCGCTATTCTACCTTAGTTTTTGTCAGTAATCAGCCTAAAAGTTGAGATATTTGAGTATTCAGTGGAAAAAAAAACACCAAATGCACACTGCCATGTCTACAGCTAAAAATACCAAACTTTCAGCTGAGAAACTGGAACAAGAAAGACGATCACTTCCAAGTAACTTACTGTGGCTGCCAGGATTGCATGTCATTTAGTCTTACCAGTCAGCTAACTTGAATTGTGATTCTTTGCATTTGCTACCCACCAATCAGCCCATCTGTGGTATTCACATGTGTGATCCTCTTTGTTTCTCTTTCTCATATTCTAACATTCAGTTTCTCACTTTGCTCTGTCTTCCTCTTTCCGTTGCACATCACGCCTCTTGACTTTGAACACTTCATCAGCATGGGCAGACTCAGCCTGTGTGTGATACAGTGACTCACATGCACCCTGGCTGACCACCCACAGATGCTGCTGCTGCTGCTGTGCTGCGTTGCAGAGAGAGTGATTTTTCTTCAGTTTTGCACATTCTCCCAGAGTCTTTATGTGTGTGCATTTGTGTGTCTGATGCAACTAGCTCGGTAACTAAGGTCTGATCAGATCTCAGGTGGTCTGCTTCCTGCCAGTAGGCTAAATAGGATTTCCCCAAAATCATATTTTGCAGCCCTGCTCTCCTTTATGAGCAGGAGCTCACTCAGCCACGGTCTGGTGTAATATTCGCTTCATTTACTTTGCCTCTGTAACCTCTTAACAGCGCTGGCATCAGCACCTTCAGTATTTATAGTCTGAACCTTGAGCTGCTGTTCTTTTTGTTAAAGCATCTTCATAACAAGACTTTTGCACCCCTCCTTTTTTGTTTGTCCTGTATCTTTCTCTCTGTATCGCGGTCTTGTCCTGCTTTCACAAATTTCATTTCCTCCTTTTCCCTCTCTCTCTTTTACCTTCATCATTTCTCTAATCCCCCCCGGCTCTCCCTTCTTCCCTTTCTCTGTCTCTCCTGCAGAACCAGACTGGGCGTCGCTGACTTTGGGTGTGTTTGTTTGCCAGGCCTGCTCGCTCCTTCACCGGAGCATCCCACACATCAGCCGGGTCAAGTCTGTCCAGGACACATGGGATGCCAGCGAGGTGGAGGTAGGGTGGGAATGTCAAAAATCTCCACATACCTTTAACCTCAGTCCACTTGCTGACATTTGATGACATTTGACATTTGAACAATAAAATGAATGTGAGACAAGGCTTCCACAGCATTGAATTCCTACACTCCTACATTTTGTGTCGAGAGAAAGAGATGGAGGACTAACGCCGCTGTTTTGCTAGCATACTGCTCGCACTACGCCTCCACAGCGTCAGATGGTTTGGGGTCACAGGCAAGCGACAACTACGATTTTCTCAAGAGAATACAGGAGGAGGTGTAGTCTGATCAGGTGTAACACACGGTGTTTATCAGGACAGCATCAAATATTTTTTTTAAAATATGGCAATAAAACCAACTTTGCGATGCTATTAAATTACTGTGATGATAATGTCGTGAACAGAGCTTTAATTTAACATCAAATACAATCCACCTCTGTTGTGTGGAGTTCAATTCACTTTTATGTATATAGCACCAAATCATAACAACAGTTGCCACAAGGGGCTTTACACTGTAGGAGCCTCTAATAGTACAGAGAAAAAAGAAAAGAAAATCCCAACAATCAGACGACAACCTATGACGAAGCACTTGGCGAGAGTGAGAAGGAAAAACTCCCTTTTAACAGGAATAAACCAGGTTCAGGTAGCGGTGTAGAGCTAGAGATTAACAGTAACTATTGATTAATTGCAGAGTGGTGTATAAACACAGAGTGGAAAGAGGTGAGTGAAGAAGAAACACTCAGTGCATCATGGGAAGCCCCTTAGCAGTATAGACCTATTGTAGTATAACTAAGGGACGGTCAGTGTCTCTAAAAGTAGAGAAGGTGTGTCTCCCAAATACAAACTGGGGGTTGGGGGGCGTCTGAAAGCTGAAGGCTCTGCCTCCCATCCTGCTTTTAAATACCCGAGGAACCACAAGTAAACCCGCAGTCTGAGTCTGATTTGTCAGTTGGACATGGAGAAAGGTATCAGCTAAGCCATCAGCTGATGTGGGCAGACAGTGAGATCACCTGATATTCAGGGATTGCTAAACAACTAGCCTGTCCTCTGTCTGAAGGTAGCTAAATCTGCCAGCAACTTTGGAACTAGAGACTAGAGATTTAAACATTAATTGATTTTTATTTATTTTACAAACCTGGTGGAAAAAGCCATCCAGTGTCAATTCAAAAGGGAATGCAAAGGAAATCATTGTATTATTAATCATATAGTTTGTGAACTAATTATTTTAAAAATCCATTTTACAATCTCTTTGGTTAGACATAAATGGACAAACTTTTAGATGTGGATTGTTATGAAATTAGCTAAAGCTGATGTAAAATATTTTTGAGTCTTCTGCAACTGTAGAATAATATACACATGAAACACTATAATGTATCATACATACGAGTATTAGTTGTGAGAAAGTTGCTTTTAAAACCTATGAAAGCAACAACTGTAAACAATGGTCAAGTTGTAAAGTGAGCCACTCAGTTTAGTCGACTAGCTAACGAGGTGGCAGTATGTTTTTTTTCATCGCCATTATTCATGGCAGCTACAGCTGAAATATTGCATAAACATAAGCTTTCATGCAATCTAAATGGATTCCTTATATTATTATTCATCTTTGTACAGTTGTCAAGAAAGTGGAAAATAGCCATAGAGACCAAAATTATTTTTGTAGCAGGCTGTGCTTTTAATATCTGTGGGGTCATTTTAGAACTAATGACCGTTTGGGGAACTTTAGACTTTCACACATGTGGCTTGACTTCATGTTTTAGCACCGGAGATGGTTGTTTTTAGCAACTTGTAGCATCATAACTAAAGTGGTGGTGTTAACAGTTGTAGCAAACAGTCCCTTTTGTTAGGATTGTCTTTTGAGTCGCTCTTGCACTTGTTTTAGTAAAATGGCTCCTAGTTTTACATTTTGTGTGTTTTGAAATGTGTCATTCCCAAAATTGCACATACCTTTGAAGTCCACTAGTTAACACCATGACAATTGCAAAAGCAATGGAAATAAGACTATTTGCTAAATGGTTGTGAATGTTTGCTGGAGGCTAATGGCAGTTGCTGGGAGAATGATTGCTAAAGCCCCTGTCACGTGGCCTAGAGACCAATCAGTGACCCCCCAAGCCACATGTCACTTGGCAACAATGTGTACTCCTCAACCAGTTAGCAAAACCCCTTTGTGTTTTCTTTGGTCGCTAGCTTATTGCTAAATTGCTAAACCATTTGCTTTCAAATTAAAAGTTGTGCCTTTTGAAACATATTGGCCACTGCTGAGGTACAACTTTTACTTTGACAACAAACTTTCATTTCCAGTTTGTATCACAGTTTTTCAAGTCGTATTATTGCTCGGCTAATAGGAACTATTAGTGCTGGGATTCTGCTAGCAACCAAAGAATTCACTAGGATATTATTGGCAACTGATTTCAGCTGGCAGGAGCCAGCAACCTCCAGAAACCACTGCCAACCAGTGGGGGAATACATGATGTATCACTGGAAGTGATACAACCAGTGACTGTGTCACTTCCGCATGACATCACATGAGGAACCTGAATAGAAATCTATGGGAAAGCAGCTTTCTGTCTTGACTTCTGTAAAAACTTTCTTTATGAATATATGGGCTCAGTCACTTTTGGGTCATACTGTGTTCCAAAAAGGGATATTATCCATGGTATGTTAGTTAGCAACGTGGAAAGGCAAGTCATTACCCAGTGAGCAAGCAGTTTCACAATCAGAATTGCTCTTCTTTGTTACATCCAGTTTTTTAAAACCAAGATGGCGGCGGTGCAAACGTTAATCTTTGCTGCCTATGGGTAACTTCAAGCCAAACAGTTTATTAACTTAGAGAAGTGAATAAACTATCAATGTTTTATATCAGCTGAGTTTAAATGTTTATATTTTGTTATGAGTCGATTGAAATAACTGCTAGAATTCTTAATTCTTCACGAATATGTGCAAATCCCAATATAAGCGTGCATATTTGATATGTGACTGTACCAAATACATTCAGACAAAAACAAAAACCATGGTAACTGAAGCTTAAGCATCACTATTGTTTCTATGGAAACAACCCAGTCAATGGACATGTGATATGGACTATGGATAATGTGACAGAATTAAAAAAATGAGGAGGAGCGATGTCATTTAAAGGAAAAGTGGTGGGTTTTTGAAACCCAGGGCATCTCTGTCTGTTGACACATTCATTATATTTCTAGATTAGCCATAGTGTTTTTCTTCAGCATAGAACAAAAGGCTGCATGATCAGAGTCAGAGTCTCATGTGGCTTGATACAGCCAGTATTGATCTTCCAATAATACTTAGATTTGCTGTGATGCCTGTGCCCTGATATGTGAATTCTAACCAGCTCCATAATTCTGACCTTCAGCCTAACTCTGACTTCCCAGTGGAAGGAGAATATCTCACCATATGGATCAATAAGCATTATTAGTAAAATAATAGTTTACTCTTTTCCCTTGTGTGCCTTGCGATCATGTCCCGGTCAGAATACATCTTCAAGGCATCCTAGTACCGCCCCTGCAAATGTGTAAACACAGAATGCATATTTGGACTTCTGTACTCTGCTGGGGATAAATAAAGTTGTCCCTGAATGAAACAGTGTTGTCGCTCAAAGACTGTCAGTCTGTGACAAAAAAGGGACTCAGGGGGCGGTGATGTGAGTCACCAGGAAGGTTGAAGATGTGGGAGGACAGTAATTGGGATGTTATGGGGATTTGACTTAAGGGGTGAGCAGTGGGGGTGTTAGCAAGGAAAATGGAAGAAGAATACACAGGAAGGACAGAGCATTTGGATAAAACCAGAACAAAAGCACATTTATTGGCGGATGGGGGATACATTTGATTGAGGTACGGGAATACACGAGGGCTTTGTGACGTGCGTTTGGTTAATATAATTGGGAGTGTTTTAGGATGATTTTGAGATCACTGTTGAGACCTCTGGAGCTCTGTTTTGGTCCCATACCAATAAAATGTCAGTAATCGGAGGAACCACAGCAGTACTCACTTTATTAACTGAACATGGCTTCTATTGGGATCAGTGGAAATGCGTCTGTGGTTGTGTTCAGCTAGGTGCTACAAATCACAAGGATATTACTTAATTTTGAATTATAATACCACATTAGGCTTTATTTACACCATGTACTAATGTTTAATCTGTATCTGGACACATTATCTTACCCTTGCTTTTAATGGTGCAACGGAGCAGGCTCAAAAATATAACATAAGACACCACATAATACACCAGAATCTCATTTTTAATTAAAGGCCGGTCATACACCGACAGAGCTAGCAATCCAAGAAAAGTGCAGAAAAAAGTCCCGAAGGGTAACAATGAGGATATGAACAAGAAGCACAAGGAATACAACTCCAGGATGAGAATATGAGGAATATAACTAGGAAACTGTCTAGAAAGCTTAACTTCCAAGACAATCTGGCATGTTACAGAGAGACAAAGAAGTATATATAGTAAAAGAGTATGTAACTGGTGAAAACTGATGTGAAAAAAGAACAAAGTAACTAGATACATACATCACTAAAAATGAGAAAATAAAATGGGAAGTGGCACAACAGAAACCCAAAACCATGACTCAAATATTGCATCTAAATGCAAATAAGCGAGGGGGCAGGCAAGCAGGATCAAGGGAAGCAGTCCTCCTTTGTGGGCTTTTGTCATTACTTGTACTAACTGGGGTCTCATAAGTTACCAGGATGAAGTCGAGCTGGAGCTTTCACCTTGCTTTGTGTGGCTGATTCAATCTCAGTTACACTTTATGCATTATGCACTTTTTTTTTTTATCCTTGCCCAGACTACACTGCACACTGCTGCATATTTATCAGTATATAAATTGAATCAGGTTTGCTATTTTCATGGATATGTATGTGTTTAAGCAGTTGGATCTATAATAAATTAGACTGTAGATAACGAGAAGTCATCCAGTCTCATGTGCTATTGCAGCGTTAACCATGTTATCATGAAGATCGGGTTTAGCCGTAACTGAAGGTCATGCTCCGCAGAAGCTTGAGACAGTTGCGAGTGTTTTTTTTTTTTCAGCCGTCTGGTGGAGTTAAAAATTCACATGAAGGAGAGGAATACAGTGAATGGATGTGGTACAGAGGTGATTATACCAAATGACAGGAACAGCTGATTCAACATTGATTGATTTCATGTTCATTCAAGGTGCCAAATTCATCATTCGTTACATGAGCTGAATTTCAGTGGCTTTCTTTAGAAATCTGCTTCTATTTGACGTTCACAATAAAATGCCACAGTGCTGCATCATTCCCCAAAGTCCCTTAAAGAAGAAGAAGAAGAAGCGTACTGAGGGATTGTGCCAGCTGGATTGAGCTAAGGGATTATCCTAGGATGAAATGTACGACGGAGGGAACAAGGGCAGGAGGAAAATGTGTCCCAATGCAGTGTGGCCATTTCCACCCTTAATCCCATAAGAAAGCCAGAGCCTTATTGTCAAGTGAACAAATTCTAACATACTTAAGGTTTTCTGTGCCATAGCCCACTGTTTTTAATCTAATTTAAAGTTAAATGTGAATTATATCTTCCTGTTATTATTGTTAATGATAGTAATAGGATTAAAACCAATATTACTGGTGCTGCTATTACTATAAATATAATAAACTTAATGCAGTTATGTCCCCAAGTAAAGTATAGCAAAATTATGGTTCATTAAAAACTGGGTAGATAAAATGTATCTGGTTTTCCATTTAACCTTGATATCTGAAATGCAGTATTAAATATTGAGCTGCGGACAGTGTTTTGATGACTAGGTTTTTCTTTCTGTTTTCCTTTCAGTTAATGGCTGCAATGGGAAACAGTGCAGCCAAGGCCAAATATGAGCAGAAGGTTCCAGCTTTCTACTATAGACCAACACACACTGACTGCAAGTAAGTACACCTTTCAAATTAATCTCAAAACACGAACACTAGAAAACACAGCCTTGTGTGTATAAAGTTTTTATAGTTGCATAAGCAGTTTATGTCTAATGTTAAATCTTTTTTGTTAGCCAGCGAGTGACTGTGTGCTAGGACTGGGTGAACTGATGTTAGGCCCTTTCCTGTCAAAGGAACTTGTTTTTTCTGTGTGGCAGGACAGCAGGAACCACTTTTTAGGACATTTCTTAGGGCTGTTTTGGTTTGTAGAAAAAAGTATATGTTCTGGGCCAAGTGGAGGCACAGGACACAGCCCTAAAAACTACTAGACAAGGATGATTAGCTAAACCCAGAGAAGACAACACAAACAACTGCCATTTCTTTCCTCTTGATAACTACCAGTCTTATCTCCGTTGTCATTTAGTTGCCTACGTGGCAAAACCAAACCCATCTTGTTTCCCTCTATGCTTCCTGTAGTGTAAAGTCCACCTTTGTACATTTTCGAAGTTGAATACAGAATAATGTGTAATGAAAAGGTTGGAATTGTTGGGAAATCTACTTAATTATTATATTAGCTTTGCAAGTATTACATTCTTTCTTAAAGGCCTAATGAAGGTAGAGTGAACTAGTGCTTTCTGTACTTAAAGAAATCACAATGGCTGCTCTGAAAAAAGCAGAAGCAACAGCAACAAGTTATAAGAACATTCATAACAGCGACTTGGGTTTAGGCCAATTAATTCATTATGACTATACTTATGTGATTGTGTTCATTTGTGGTGCAAAGTTTTCTGATAGTAGCTGGTATGTGCATGTAATACACACAGAGCCAAACCTGCTGCTATACCTATTAGCTAGGCGCTAACGTTGGCCACCGTTTGGTGCTGGACAGCTAATTGCAGTGTACTTTTATAGCATTTGAGACTAAAAAGAAGCTGCATGTTTGTTCAGGAAACAGCTGTAGATTGTGTATCATGTGTTATATCACATGTTAATCACAGTGATCAGGAAGCATCACATTCTCTTATTTTTTGTGTGTATGAAAGGCCATGAAAAGCAGTGTGGTTTTGTTTGTGTTATTATTTTTACTGTAAATCTGCAGGGGTTTTATTCAGCATTTCTGAATATTCTGGAGGCTGTTATGTAGTACACATTGCACCAGCATGTGCTTTGAATCAGCTTCAAATAGTACTTGAGGTAGCAAGGCTTTCATTTCTTGGCATTTTAGGAGTGTTGTTCCATTTGTCTCCCTGTCTTCCAGTAAATTTAATGAAAAGAGACAACCAAGAGAATCCAAAAGACTGACAGAAAGCCTAGAACTAGAAGTGAGAGAAATACCCTTCTCAGTATCAGCTGTCTGTTTGTGCTCTCACCCAGTGTCATCATTGGGTGTCATTTGAAGAAAAATTTGCCAAGAATGTTTACCTCTAAATGTTGATAGAATAGTTAATGTATTTCCTCTGTGCAGAAAAAGAGATGGTGTGAGCCATTTAGAGCATGCTGGGGAGAGGCAGAGAAGGAAACGGGATGAGAGAGATTGTTGGCATGGCGATGAGCTGCCTTTTTGTTTGTTTTTTTATCAGTGAGAAGGAAGAAGGTTTAAAAATGAGATTGCCACCTTTACATTAGGCTTTGGTACAAGGCTGTGATCAGGTTGCTTTGAGTTGCATTGCAATAGATATCTATGAGTGTTATATGAGTATAAGCTTAATGGATATTCCATTATTCTGTTTTATTGAGGATTAAGTAACAAATTTAAAGATGCAGCAGGGATGAATTAAGAAGTTTAAAAGTGCTGCCATGGCCATTGTAAAACTAAGGAAGATGTTTATAAAAAAATAACATGTAAAGCACATTCTTGTAAAGGTACATTTCATACCCTCCTCCTATTCCGGGATATACTTCTATTGCTGTAAGCATTTTATGAATGATGATGATATTTGTGACATTTTTTTTTTGATATGGCTTAGATTGTTTAACAATTCAAGCTATTTTATTTTGACGGGAGACTGAAGCTGTCCTGAAGTTTCTTCTTCCTCCTTAGGCTGTCAGCAGAATTACAGTGGCCATAAAAAGCCACTTAACTATATGTTATAATCAAGTTGATGAGTTATGATCAGTTTTTGTTTGGTCAGTAAAGCATAGAAACTGGTAAGCAACCATTTGTCAACCTCTGGTTAGTAGGGGAAAATGTGTATTCCCAATCTGGTTGGCAAGTGGTTGTGGGAAGTTGCTTGGGTTAAGGAGGTCCCAAAGAGGGTGCAGAGACAAAAACCTTTGTGTTGCTTTGGTTGTGCCCTACCACTAACATGCACACATATCTAAAAGCTCAATTTTTGCTCTGAAGGCAAATGCTCTTATCGCTTGGTAGGCAATTTGCAAGTGGTTGCAGACAAGTCGTCATCATCTATTCAACTATGGTCAGCTGTGGTAATCACTAATGACCAAAGAAGTGGCAAGAAGGTTTTTGGTGCTGCACCAGATACCTCTTAATGACCAATTTCTTCTAGTGACAGCAAACAGCTTCCCACAACCACTCGCCAATCAATTGGGGAATAGAGATTTTTCCATAGCGACTGGTGGTGGAGTCACTGGATGGTCTTTAGTTCTATGCAACACGTTCTCACTCCCAAAGCGTAACATTTTACACTAGGTGACAAATCGTCACCATATTACGTTTTCGGCTCCAGCAACCACTCACATCTGGTCAGGGAATACTCACTTTTCTCTAGTGACCGGTGCTTTCAATGAGGTCACTAACCAGTCTTTTAGCTTGCGTGTCTGTGACCTTAGCTTCACTTAGTTCAGATGGGTCTTAAATATTTCATCACAGTATTCCACTATTTTAATCTCCTCTATGTGTTGGGAAAGCGTACAGGTGACTGCATGGTTAAGTCAGAAAATTCAAGTTGGAAGCCAGGAGTTATGCATTTGGCATTTGTGAACTGCCAGGAGAACAAGTAAGAGAAGACCTTTGCCAGCTTGCTTGTTAGACAATAAGAAGATGCAAGTTTAAACACAAATGTCCTCAGAGTAGCAGTTTATCTTGGAGGTGAAAGCCAGTGACTGAAAAGTGAAGAATAAAACCATGTAGTGTGTCCAAGGTATTTAGAACTGGGGACAATAGGGTGTTGCTGTTCCTTTGTAATTTCCCTCTATATATTCTGGCTTTGTCCTACAGACCGAAGACATGTTGATTAGGTTAAGTAGTGATTCTAAATTGGCCATAGCTGTGAATGTGAGAGTGAGCCTGTATGCCTCTCTGTGTAAATTTGAGTCCACAATGAAAGCGATTCACAATGACATGGTGATCAGAAATAGAAGAAAGTCAATCACATTCACTTCACATGACTATATGTGAAATAACTGCTGGCGATGTGAGCAGGACCTGATATAAACCGTTCTCTGCTTGAAGCAACTACCAGTGAAAGCACACAAAGCCATTGATTGACATTTGACCTGGCAGTAAATACAAGAGTTACCTAGACAACTGGAGCCTCGAATGTCCAAAAGTGACCAGCTGTAGGCTTCAAAGTGATTTACACTGAGCTAATAGTTTCCAGTGTGGATGCAGCTTTCACCTTATGTTGTATTGGTGATGTCTTCACTACTGCAACCTTGAACTGCATAAGCAGTTGAGCCCAACCAAAACAGACTTTTTAAAGCCAGTACTGATACTGGTTATTTTTTTCATTTTATTAACCCCCATAGGAAATTAGTCCTCTGCATTTAACCCATTCACTCAGTGAAACAGTGGGCAGTCACCAATCGAAGACCCGTGGACCAGTGTGTAGAGACGGTACCTTGCTTAGGGGTACCTCAGGGTAGCCGTTCGGTGGATTTGAATCCCCAACCTTCTGATCATGGGGCAAACTGAGCTAACTCTGCCCTATTTTCTGATGGATAGACAGACATTTTTTTTTCTTTCAGGAAACAAAGTACAAACAGATTTCCTGAACATTTGTTATATGTTGTCATTTATTTACTTCTTTGTGCATATTTACTCATTTATGAAGTTGCAGTGAGCCCTCTGCTGGACAGACTATGGAACATCAACACTGAAGGGTGTTTCTTCTGCCTCTTCCTTAATTTTTAAATGCCACTTCACATTTATTGGCACATGCCTAATATTGGCTCTAGTAAGGGGTTGAATTAGTCTATGGATGTGAATGTGTGTTTCCACCTTAGGTTTAGTCTTTAGTTCTTATAAATCTCAAATACATCTTGTTTATACCTAAAATAGTATAAAAAAACAAACCCTGATAATACTACAGCTTATTGTTGGGTCTTTGGAGAGCTGCATTTTTGTTTTTTTTCCATAAAAAGAATATCCATTTTAAGGTGTGAAATAATTTGATTTTGGCAGTCAAGGGTCAAGGTCACTGTGTTTAAATATGTCTGTCTTCATTTCTATGAGGTCATGCTGTAAGCAAAGTAAGACTCCTGAGCAGTAAAAAGTAACAGTGTGTACGTCTAACTGACAAAGAAAGAAATCATTTTAAGTTTGTGTACATCAGAGCAATTGATGATGAGTGTGCAATTCACATAAAAGCTAACTGTGTGTTTTCATCGTGTCTCCAGACTGCTGAGAGAGCAGTGGATCAGAGCCAAGTACGAAAGGAACGAGTTTGAATTTATCGAGAAGCAAGAGCCATACTCTGCAGGTACGTGCATACTGATAAGGAAGGCTTTGTATAAAAGTCCTCATCAATCTATATGTTCCTACACATCACTGTAACTGCTGGCTTTTTTCCTTTTTTTTGCCTGTGAAAGATGAAGACACTTGCAGTATTCCAAAGTCAGAAACAAAAACTGAGGAATTGGTTTCAGTTCAGATCTTTTGACCCGGTGATGACCGAAAACAAGAGCAAAATAAGACAGCATCAGGCAATACTGAATAATTAATAATCGCCTACGCACTGCAATGGCTTTATCCCAGCAATGTAAGAAACAGTGTTAGAGGAACAGTTTGACATTTTAGGAAATTGCACACTTGCTAAGAGTTAGATAAAAGGATTGACGCGGCTCATGTGTTTACGGTAAATATGAAGCCACTGCTGAGAGACCCCTAAAGCCCACTAATCAGCACATCCTGTTTGTTTAATCTGCATGTCCACTGGTTGCCTGGAAACCTCACAGAGATGGCGAGACTCAAAAATGAAAAAGCCTATTTCCAAAATCAAAATATTCCTTCAACACGTCTTTCAAAAAAATATTAAAATGTCACGTCATGTTTATGAGTTGAAAACAGCTCATCCCTGTTGGGGAGGAGGTCTTCAGATAACGTCTGACTGCTCAACTGTCTCTTCATATCCATCCACCACAACAGTAGAAGCACTGGGCAATAGTACTCGAGAACAGACTAAGACTGTATGTAAAAGATGCATGTACCATAATCATTATGATACTGCTTGTGGTTTCTGGAGCAAAAGCAGCATTCATAAACTGAATGGGTTCAATTCATGAGGCATTCAACTCATTTCAATTAAATTTTATTTATACAGCACCAAATCAGAACAACAGTCACATCAAGGCGCTTTATATTGTAATGTAGGCCCTATAAGAATTGCATGCCTGATAATTAGTGCTTAGTATCAGACCAATAAAATTCCAGCTTTACTCACCAAAGCTGTAACACAAACTCCTCGGACAGCCTGGCACTCACAGTAAGCCATATTATTTATCAGTTCATCCATCCAAAGAAACTGGGGATGATAGCTATAAAGCTAGACTTACTGGCAGGCTGATATTATTTGCTAATATCGATTAGCAATAATTTGCTGATATAGCTACATTTATAAAAGTCGGTAAGTGAACATTTAAATGTAAAGAGGAGAGAGAGAAACACCCTTCAGCCATGTTATGACGGATGACGTTGCATAGTTTGTCCATCAGAGGGCGCAACGTAACTTTCCTGCTGGTGAACATGTGTTTGAAACTACACAAACACAACAATCAGCTGATCCAAGCAGAGTCAGGCAGAGCGTAAAGGATAAAATAAATAGCTACACATAACAAATGTTAAGAAAATCTGTTTATATTTCATTTGTCTAAAAGAAAAAAAATATCAGCTGACATGTTGGAATGTCAGATTTTTAAATCATCAAATATCAGTATTTATCTTAAAAGTCGTATATTATCCTATATATTATGCATCATCTTTTATTGCTTTTATTATACTTTAACTATAGAGAAAAAAACCTTTTTGTAAGAGGCTGTAAATATTTGAATTTTATTATTTCGTAATCAGCCTCAAGTGGCCATTTAGAGGAACTGCAGTTTTTGGTAATTCTGTACAAGAAGCATTTTGGCGCATGGATACAAAACACATGAACTCTGACTTGGTTGGGGACGTGGGTTAAAGTACTTTGTGTGTTACCTCTAATGTCTTCACATTTAAATGTATATAGCCACTTTTAGGCTTTTTGTAGCAGTAAATGTGCTCGCTCAAGCTAGAACTACATAAGATGAACACATCTATGCTCAAGCAAGCATACCTCAAAAAGAGACTGCAAAGTGGCCGGTCTGCTGTGGTGCCAGGCTTGCACTGTTTACTCTTCGATAAGCAAAACCTTGAAAAACTCCTTGGGTAAACATTTCCCCGTGGATGCCAGTAGCACAAATTCAATTACCCTGAAACATCCATTGACGACTCTCAGACAATTATTTTCATCCTTCTCCTCCTAAATGGTTGTGGTATATGTTTGCGGTTAAAAGCATATTCGTGCAATGACATTGTAATTGTCACTGCTGGTGAATGGAACTGCCATTAAAAGGAGTATGCTTGCTTGTGTGTGTGTGTGTGTGTGTGTGTGTGTGTGTGTGTGTGTGTGTGTGTGTGTGTGTGTGTGGAGGCTGAGGGTAGAGTACTAGTATACATTTCACATCTTGATGAAGATGGTGCTTTCTGATTGGCTTGCAGTGACCTCACCCTCACACACTCAAATGCAAATACACACACACACAACAGAGTGTAATGATATGAGTCATTCTGTCATCTCTATTTGTGCCTTTGTGGTAACGTCATCATTCATTTTGAGGTGCATGTACATAAATATATGTGTGTGTGTGTGTGTTTGAGATTGACTTTATGCAGTAACCTGGAATGCACAGTGACCAACATTGATCTATTAAGCAAAGAAGAGGAGGAGAAAAAAAAGGTCAGAGAAGGAGGCGAGGGTGGGGACAAGGAGGGCTATTGATTGGTGAGGTAATGCCAGTGTAGGTGGATGTTTCATGCCGGAAAGTCACAGACAGCAAGACATATACATACACACACACACACACACACACACACACACACACACACACACACACACACACACACACACACACAACACACACACACATACACATGCATATATGGAGCAGAATGAGTGCAGAAGATGAATAGATAGAACACAGGTAATCAATGGCTGCTAATAAAAAGAATAGAAAAGACAGCAGTAAAGTAAAGAAATGTGAGTGAATATGAAAATGACTCCTCAAGCTTTTTAACTGTAAAGCTGCAGTTCATAATTTTATGTAAGCTTATTTTTTTATATTAGCAGTGGTATTTGCCTTTTGTTTATGTCATAAAACTGTGTTGTAATAGTTATCGCTGACCTCTGCTTTTCAGTTTATTTTACCAGCAGCCGTCATCTTTTTGTTGATTTTTTTTTCGGTTGTGATGGACCATGTTTGGTTTTATTTATAGGTGGCATTTATGCTTCCACCCAAAAAAATGCTGGCGAATAAAATCAACCGCGAAAACTAAACTGTGTATGTGAAAATAGTTTCATTTTAAAAAACATTGATTTATCCAGAAACGCTACCACTGCGGCAATATTGAGGTTTTTCAGTTACCCACTGAAACCTTTCCTGGAAATGGAGAAGCTTTTGACACAGTGCGGTGTTTTCATTGGCCTCTTCATAGCTTAACAAATGAAACTACCTGTGTGATTAAATAGTCGTGTAAGTGCAGGTGAAACAATCCTCATACAGATGAGGACAGAATTCGACTGCAGTTGTTACTTGTAGTTCTCAACGAGCCCATTTCTCTTTGGTGAATCTCTCGACTTCCTCCAAATTTGGTGGTGTTCCAAGATGGACCTTGGTCTTTAGTTCCTCCCACAGATTTTCAATAGCATTCAAGTCCGGCCTTTGTGCAGACCAGTCAGTAACGCTTACTTTGGTTCTTCACCAGGAGCGTTTGTTCACGTATATTTTGGGTCATTGCCATGTTGGAAGATCCAGACCCAGTTTTTCTGCTTACTGCTTGAGGTTTTTTTTTAAATCATCACATATTCTTCTTTCTTCATGACTAGACACAATGAAGAATCCCACAGCATAATACTCCCACCACTGCTGTGGGGGCTGTGTTCTTTAGGTTGTACACCTCTTCCTTTTTCTCTCCAAACATAAGCAGCATCTTTGTGGCCAGAGAGTTTCAGTTTAGTTTCATCCGATCAGACGAACTTGCAGTGTGCATCCAGGTTGTGGAATGAAGTTCTTGGTTCAGCCTCTGAGTCTATACATGTTCTGTACAGGGTTGTGGTGATTGTCTTGTCCTCTACAATTCCTACTTGGCTGAGTCCTTCGCTCGTGTCCTGGCAGTTGCTCTGCGGTCTTTAGTCACATCTCTCGCTACTTTTCTTTCTAGTCTTTGAAGTCTTCTGTTTCCTACCTCTGCGAGGGTTGTTCTGTACTCTGTGACTGTCTTTGAATTTCTTGATATTACTTCTCTTTCCAGTTCTTGACACTTTGAAACACTTTGAAACACTCTAATCATCTTGTATGTTCATCTTCTGCTTTGTGACCATCAACAAAGTCTAAACTGATTGCTTTTGTTTTCGGCATGATGCTGTCTCAGCTTTAAAGAAAATGCTATGCTGAAAATCCCTTGCTCTTTTATAAAAGCACTTGGGAAATTTTTGACAAATTCGAATTTCATTGAAATTTCTAAACTTTATTTAGCGTAACCCCCTCTCTTTATTTGTCCTCCCCAGTGTAGGGATTTCAGTTTCATCTTGAATGTAAATTAGTTGCTTCTTTGGAGGACTACCCGGTTACGCTTCCTATAATTTTAACTCGCAAAAATAGATCCAGACAAAAAAACACATCAGAGCTCGACAGAAATAGAAGATAAAAGCAAGAAGAAGAGGCAGCGTGAGTCAGAGGGGTTTACTGAAATAGACCAAAGGAGAAGAAGAAAACATAACAGGGCTACAAATAGTGCGGCATGTCATTAACATGGGAAAGCATGTTCTATGTACAGAAACAATAAAAACCGTCTGCGCTGACTCACGCTGTTTTTTTACCCCCTCCCCTGTTTGTTTCTTCCCGCTCTGCTGTGTTTTCTCGCCCTTGCACGCCGTCTCCTTTTCCTCGCTGTCTGCATAAATGAGATTTCAAACGATCTTTGATTTCAGCTTAACTGAAGTATCATCTGACACCAACCAGTTACAATATCTCCCCATCACTGTTGTAAACGTCTCCTCTGTTTGATCTCCTGTCTCCTATAAAGGCTTTATGGTACCAGCTCCCCTACCACACACACACACATTTATTTCTTTTTTTCTTTCTACCCAGGGTACCGAGAGGGGTTTCTATGGAAACGAGGAAGAGACAACGGTCAGTTTCTTAGCAGAAAGTTTGTCCTGTCAGAGAGGGAGGGAGCGCTGAAATACTTCAACAAGCAGGATGTAAGAAACACGATACAGCCAATAGCAGAATTTCTCTTTGGTGCACAGCAGCCATACTGAGGAATGTGAGACTTTTACAATTCATTGTTTACTCCTGCTCCTGTCAAGGCCAGAGATCCCAAGGCAATAATGAAAATAGAAACCCTCAATGCCACCTTCCAGCCTGCCAAGATTGGCAACCCCTGCGGACTGCAGATCACCTACCTGAAAGACAACAGCACAAGGAACATCTTTGTTTACCACAGCGACGCCAAGGTACGCACGTGCATGTATTACACACATTTCTGCACAAGTAACTCCAAATTACTATGTACACTAAAATGACGGGCTTCTGCTTCTCACGCGCGGAGCTTTAAAAATAGCACAGAGGAGATCTGTGGCCTCAAAAGATGACTCTGATGGCAGAGTGCAGACTTTCATTTGAGGACACTATGCCTTAGATTATGAACAAAGCACAATACTGTGCAAAAGTCTTTGCCCTCCATCATTTCTTTATATTTTGCTAAGAATCTGGAAAATTGGGAGTTTGTACAATTCTAACAAGCTTGAAAGTCTCCACCACAGCCTGGAGTGTCTTAGGCAGCTTTCTTTCAGTCTTCAGGAACAGTTCTCCACGCTTCTCCAAGGACATTTAAAGCTTCTTTGTTTTTTAGCTTTTATTGGAGAGAAGACAGAAAACCTGGGAGAAAGACCAGAAGGAGAAGGCCTTGGGGCAAATTTAAACCAGGCTTCTGCATCAACATTAATTCAGTTTAAATAAAGTGAATTGTACAACATGTTCTCATTCAAATCATTGGTGTGTTTCGCGTTTGGAGGCATGACAGCCTTTGAAATAATAATAATAATAATAATAATAAAATAATAATAATAATAATAATAATAATAATAATAATAATAATAATAATAATAATAATAATAATAAAAAATAATAATAATATACAAATGGAACTTAACATAGAATAAAACAACATAAATAGAACAATGACAGAAGAAAAATAAGAAAACAAGAGCACAAGATAACGTACACAAACAACAGGTTCACAGTGAATATGCAGATTTGAAAAGATGGGTTTTGAGTAGGGATTTAAAATGGAGGAGAGAATCAAGGTTTCTTATACAGTGGAACCCCAACTTACCAAATTAATTCGTTCCCGAGGGTCTTTCGTAAGTCGAAGCACCCATCGCGCCTTTTGAGTGAACGATAGGCTAATTGCTAACGGCAACAACAATACGTCGTTTAAGCGGAACAGCGAAGCGCAAGTACGAAAGCCAAGGGGTTGTCACATGATTCGGACGGCATTGTAGGCATTCTAGGCTCAGCCAATCAGAGCCAGCAGATTTCATAACACGGGCATTTTGCCGTAACACGGGCAGAAATATTGCCGTTCAGTGCCTTCGTAACTTGAATTTTTCGTTTAACGGGATATTCGTAAGTCGGCGTTCCACTGTACCTGGGGTAGAGAGTTCCACAGCCTGGGAGCAGAGCAGCTGAAGGCCCTGCTTACCATGACAGTGAGGCGGAAAGAAGGCACAGCAAGCTGAACAGAAGAAGAGGGTCGAAGTGAGCGGGCAGAAGAGAGGTAGGGAGGAGCGAGGTTATGAAGGACCTTGAAGGTGACCAGAAGAAGTTTGTACACTATCTGGAATTTCACACGGAGGCAGTGAAGTTCCTGGAGAACAGGGGTGATGAATGAATTTGTACATGTACCTTTGTTTTACGTTCTGATCATGAATCACTTTGGAAAACACTATCTGATAGGGTTAAGGTTAGGGTTAGGGCTCGGACTGGAATGGACGGCTGGAGCCTCTGCTCTAAGTATGTGTTACCGCCTCAAACGCCATTCTATTGGATTCAATTGACAATCCGGAGCGTCTCATAGTAACGCGAAATGTACCCTTCCGCGTCCTTATGAGACGCCTCGGGCTGTGATAAATCGTCAGTATGTTACGCGTTGGGAATGAGAATTCTCTGGACCTTTATTTATATAGCTCCAAATCACAACAGCAGGCACCTTAAGGTGTTTTATATGGTAAGGTAAAGGCAGTATGTGGGTCACCTGTACAGCCCAATGAGCAAAACCAGGACACAACGTTCATAGACTGGTCATCTTCTGAACATAGTGTTTTAGGTTTGCCACTTCTTCTTTTGTCCATTTTTCTTAAAGCCACACCATGATGAGATATTCCAAGTTTTCAGCGAATTGCTTTTTGAGAATTATCATCTTGGTTTAATTATACTATTTTATATTTGTCCCATTGTGTTATCTTTGCCATTTTTCAGATTTTTTAACAAATTCTGCACTTTAGTGACAGGCTGCTGGAAACAAAGTGTCTAAAATACAATTAGTTCTTTGCTAAGCTGTCTGTTCTGTGTCGAAAGAACACTCGTGCGTTTCCTTGAGCTTTGCTTTTTATGCTTGCATGATTCATAAGTCAGTGTTAAGTGGCTTAACAACAACAACAACAACAAAATATTGTGCTGAAAACATTCAGACCACTTTTTAAAAAATTGCAATAATTTTTACCATGACAGTGAGGCGGAAAGAAGGCACAGCAAGCTGAACAGAAGAAGAGGGTCGAAGTGAGCGGGCAGAAGAGAGGTAGGGAGGAGCGAGGTGTAAAGAAATTAGGGGCAAATCTAGACTTGTGCACAGTCCTGGAAGCAGCCAGTTGTTCAAAAACCAGGATGTTATATTAAGATGAAAATAGCTGTGATCGCTACAGTTTTGCCTGTTATCACGAAATGAATTAAATCAGTCAGAATGCACTGAGTGCGCTCCACCTGCTAGGCTTATTAACCTTAATTAAAACACAAGCATTTACATCAAATTAAATCTTAACTTTTAACTGTTATTTTAATATGATTTGATACTGAAATGATGACAACAGTAAGCACCTGCACATATTTATGGGATTTCAGACCTAGTGAGAGAAAAATGTGAAGAGGCCTCAAGTCCTGGGGAGTAATGAATCATTCTAGTTGTGAAATCATGTTTTGTCTGGTTGGTCTGGCTATAGCTGCTACAGACACCAGCGCTGAAGCTAGTGCTGGATTAGCCAGTTGTTATACCAAAGGTGATGAAATATGCCAGTTGTAATACAAAATCAAAGCCATGTTCTTAGACAAAAGCGTCGAGTGTCAACTTCCTAAAATGCAGCCACACCTGTTGCTTGATTGAGGGTCAGAACATTTGAATCTGACTCTGAGTAAGTGTTAAGGACATGCAAATAGTGAGTAATGTTTGCAGGCTCTCTTAGGTTAGGCCAGTTCATTGTTATTAAGGTGCAGGGTGTGTTCACAGGTGTTGTAGCCCTTCCGCTCCCAGAGGTAACGGCTCAGTCCAATAAAGCTCCTGACAGGCATTTTTCTTCTCATAAAAGTAAATGGATGGATGATAATGTCTGCACACACTAACCCGCCCCTCCGCCCAACACCCACACCCTGATCTGCCACTGCTGCTGGTCACATAGATATCATTTGGAAAAACTGTAAAATATCGGCACTGAGCATATTCTGTGACTCCTTCTTCCTCTGCATACAGTTATCCAGTGGTTAGAGCATTCTAAATGTTTTTGTTTGTATGACCAACAGTAGGCCTTCACCGGCCACTTTATTAGACACACATTAGAAGGACTTTTGCCTTAATTCCTAATGGGGTAGATTCATCTAGTCCTGCAAACATTCCTCAGTGATTTTGTTTCATGCTAACATGACAGCATCACGCAGCGTTTGCACGCAGATTTGTTGGCTGCACATCCGTGATGTAACTCTCCTGCTCCACCACATCCCAAAGGTGCTGGCTTGAGATCTGGTGATTGTGGAGACCATTAGAGTCCAGTGAACTCAGTGTCACGTTCAAAGAACCAGTTTGAGATGATTTGAGCTTTTTAACGTGAAAGCAGCTATCAGAAGATGGCAACACTGAGGTCAAGGGATGGACGTGGTTAGCAGAAATTCTCAAATGGACTGTGGCATTTAAATGATGCTCAGCTGGTACTAAAGGGCCTAAAGTGTGCTATTACAGGACCATCACCAGCCTGAACCGTTGATACAATAATGAGCAGCTGAACAAGTATACCTAATAAAGTAGCTGTGAATGTGTAAGATAGTGATAGAGCTCTTAGACACTGCAGTAAATATGGTATCGTAAGCTATGGTTGCCCAATGATCAAACTACACGCTGAAAGATACAAACAAACAAACACCGTTAGCTTACTGAACAACACAAACAACCATATCTGACATCTTATAGCCCTGCTATGTGTAAGATAAGCTGTCCATCATTACACTTCCTCCCTGAATACAATTCTGCACTTCAACCTTTAAACTGACGGTGTGTGTTCCTGAGAGTTTTACACTGCTGAGCCTCACGTTGCTGCTATGTTACTGGGATTTGGGGCTGAAACAGAATTAGAGGGAGACATAATCAAAGCTGAACAGATGAAAGAGAAGAAACGGAGAGGTTTTAAAGCCATTTGGTGGAGTAAGAATGACAAAGGGTGCACTGCTCCCTCTGCTGGTGCATTAGAGTTCCTGCCTGCTGTCACAGGAAGGGTTCACTGGGTTCATTCAGCATCCCTGTCACTCTCACGTTTTGTAGCGGATTTATCGACAGCGCTGCAGCTTCCACGCAGCAACGCACGCCTTGGAATTCATTCTGCTGTGTGTGACAGATACCTTCATCCAAAATCTGTTTTATTTACTCAGAACAGAAATGAAGGATTAGAATGAATAAGATATGAAGTGTGGCAGGGCATGGTTCCACTGAGAGAGCTTTTTGTCCTTTGCAGGAGATGGTCGACTGGTTCAATGCTATCAGAGCTGCCAGGTTCCACTACCTGCAGGTTGCCTTCCCGGGAGCGAGTGACGAAGAGGTGAGGATGGTGTGATTTAAGCATGCGCATCGCTGTTACTGAGCTTATAGTTTCAAAAAATAAACAGCATTCTCAGAGGTGTCTGTTCATGATGCTTTTCTACTGCATGGCAGTCTTGACGCCTCTGATCCCACTGCACATGTCCATGCTGAAATAAGGGCAGTTTTTTAATATTTCATGCATGCTTTTTCTTTTATCTTTACATGATTCTCTTTTGTCTATTTGCTGCTCCAGCTGGTGCCCAAACTGACCCGAAGCTTTATGAAGGAAGGCTTTATGGAGAAAACGGGTCCAAAGGTTGGTGCTGTAGTCATCCCTCTATAGTGAACTAAGGATGATAGTATCAGTTACACCTGAGTTTCAGTGTTCAGGTGACCTAAATATGGCCAAAGTGTCTCCAGGTTCAGAGTAGTGCATTGGTTCCTAATCTTTTAGCCTCCTGGTTTCTTCTGCTGGAATTATTTTTAAGGTTATGGAGGCTCAAGGGAGTAAATCTGTTCAGAATTCTGCAATAAAAAAAGTAAACATTAGCGATTACAATTATTGTTCTTCTTTCTCATTCTGTGAACCATTACAACCATAAACCAGACTGACCTAATTAAGTCTGAGTAATGCCTAAAGCTAAGGCTAGCTGTGTTGTAAATTGTAATTAATTATTTAAGAAAATATGTAAGTTTGAAAATGCAGTAGTGAAAGTGATGGAACAAATGCAGATTTCATTAACTGTAAATAAAAGATGGGCGTAATTTGTCAGTCTGAAAATGAAAGGGAGTTAAAATGCATTCTTTCTAATGACCAGCAGGGGGCGACTCCTCTGATCATAGCATATATTATAAATATTAAAAAATTACTTATTAATGTTGTCGGGTGAAGCTGGAATTTTGACTTTCATTAAAACCTGACCCGATAAGTGAAGGGTGCATGAGGCTAAGAAACTTAGGGACAGTGTACACTCATAGGCTAGCTACTTGTCAATTATAAAATCGAGTCACCCAAAAATCAAACCGGGAACATTGTTTACAAAATAAGCTTCATGTTGTATCCAAAAAGATTTGGAGCTTTATTGCTTGGTTCTCCCATTTGGATTTAGGTTGCTCCAAAAACACGCTAGTGCACTCTCTCATGCCACTCACCCTACTGACTACACCTGCTATTGTTGGATTAAGTTTCTCTCCAGTATTTCTTTTATTGAAACAAACAAGGTATTAATTGCCTTTGGTGTTCTTATCCCTTGTTGCCAAAGCTGTGTAGACCCAGTTTTTTGTAGTCACTTCCTGTTGACCATTAGAAAGAATGGCTTTCACTTTTTCAGGCCAGGAAGCTCCATCCATCCTTTGTATACAGTCTATAGGTTGCAAGAAGAAGTATGGCTGTGTAGGAGTCATCTGCTCACTCAATTTATTTTCTCAAATAGTCTCAGATACTAGTTTGGTTTAATACAGCATGATGGTGACTTTGTTAAAGTGAAACAAACGACGAAGCAGAATATGATTTAGGGCGTGGCTACTTTGTGATTGATGCTGCAGCATTTTTCAGTTTCTCAGTAAGACCCAACAATTGTTAATGACATCTTGACGTCTGATTCCACAAAACGGTACTTGACAGCCTAATAGTTCGAGTCACAGTGGCTATGTAATCTTTTATATACAGTATGTATTATAAAAGCTAAAAACGAAAGAAGAAATTCTGGAATTTTGGAGCTTTTTTCTCCCTAGTGGTAAAATTATGATTGTTTTTCTTTACCTGTATTGGAAGCAGTTTCTTTGAGTTTAGGGAGGAGTGAGTATTGCAAGTTACAACAAAACTTCATCTTCATGTCTTATGATAAGTGACAAAATGTGCATTTGTCTCCCTCCTTTCAACAAATGTACTGTCTGTCTTACTCTGCGTTAGCACACTGAGGGCTTCAAGAAGAGGTGGTTTACGATGGATGACAGGCGGCTCATGTATTTCAAAGACCCTCTGGTAAGAAGAGCGCTGCATCGACCCAACCTTTTGATTTGGTTCATTTGTGGCTTGCTTAGTTTGTCTTTCTGTCCCTCAGGATGCCTACGCCCGTGGGGAGGTGTTCATTGGCAGCAAGGAGAACAGCTACACTGTCCTGGCTGGCTTGCCTCCGTCCACACAGGGCTACCACTGGAACCACGGCATCACCATCGTCACGCCAGACAGGAAGTTCCTCTTTGCCTGTGAGACTGAGGCCGAGCAACAGGACTGGATAGCCGCTTTCCAGAGGGTCATAAATCGACCAATGAGGCCACAGGAGTACGCAGGTCATTAAGTAAAACATTAGAGTCCTAAAATGGTTTATTTATTTTTTTTGCATGTTTTGTTGTGGGGGAAAGGGCATGTATAAAGCTTTAAAATCCTACCATAATATACGGACTATAAGCGAAACACGAAAAAAAAATGAATTTCCTGTTACTGAAAGTCGTTTTCTCTGTGTCCCTGCAGTGGAGGCCCATTTCAAACACAAGCCTTGAAATCTGCTGGAAACCAAGCGCTCAACTGGACCAGCCCGGTCTCATTCAGATCAGAGACGGCCCCAGCGTGCGACCACTGACCATGGCTAGAAGAGGCGGGGTGGGTCTTATGGGTCACGAGGGGTTTTAGGGATGGGCCGAGATGGGAAAACACGAAGAAAGGAAAGGAAACACCGGCAGGACTCCAGTCTGTCTCGTGTAGGAAGCCTAAAACTCTAACGGGACTCGAGGCCCCTCATGGGGTGATCCAAGGCCAAAGGGTAGATGATGTCATCACTCTTGCGCTTACCAACCTTGTGTTGTACATTATCACATCAGAAACCCTTTCCTCTCCTCTCCTCAGCCATGTGGACCCTTCCCCTTGCAACAAGCTCCTCCTCCCCCTTCCCACCCAGAATTTTTTGTCTTGTGAATGGTTCATTCTGTCTGTAATCTAATGTAATTATGTAATCTAGAGTCATTTCACTGGTTGCTTAACAAAGACAATGCATTGTTAATTTATTGAATGTACAGTTTTGATGACAGTGGCTTATTCTGTGTGCGTGCGACGTTTTTCATTGAGGACACTGTGAGGTTGAACCTCCCGCACTAAAACCCTGGTAAACCTGAAATCTGCAAAGTGCTGTTAACAACAAATATGCATACGAAACACACAAACATACACACAACAATCTCTCAGTGAGCACCTCTGCTGTTTCGGCAGCACGAGGTGGCATATCTGCATCCAGGCAGGGTTACCTTTCAAACCTCAATCTGACAGATGTTCTCTTATTTATTTGTACTGTTGAACATACTGAGTCATCGTAGACGGTTATCGCTGCTTTCCAGGATTGTAATGTGACAGGATTGTAATTTATATGACACTTCTACAGACGTTTCGTTTAATCTTTGCATCTTGTTTTAAAGACACATGGTTGTGTTGATCCTTAAATCACAGTGATAGTTTGTTTCATTATAAAATCAATACAAAGGATCCTGAAATGAGCTGCCGGTGTTTTGGATTGTCCTCCGTGTTCCCTCTTCTCTGTTGTCTTTCAACAGTTTTCCACACACTGATCCATCTGCTGTTGCTTTCAAGTAACCTTGAATGCTGATTGGTGCACAAAAGTCTAAACTAAACCATGGCTGACAACAATACACAAATACACTTGTTGAAAGTACTGTCTTTTTGAGCATGGCTGCCAGTGCTCCCCAATTCTTCCACTAGGTGGAGCTCTTTTATCACCCCGCCACTGCTCACAGGGCGATGTGAATCATGTGCGAGCATGTGGGGGACATTAATGTAAACTGAAGCAGTTTGTACAAACAGATGGCAAAAAAAAAAAATATACTGACACTTTAGTCCAGAAGGATACTACACTGCTGGGAAATTACTGAAAGAGAGTTAGAGATCCATTCTCTTAACTTACAGACAAAACATACAAAGTCCACATCGTGAACAGCTACTGGACCTTCTTGCTCTGAGGCAGCAGTGTTAACCACTGTCAGAGTGAGAGGTAGTTTTATATTGAAATCGACACATCCTTATGTGTCTCTGGTGTCACAGGTAAAATATAATAATATAATCATATATTCTCTGACCGCTTGGAAAATGGTTGCAGAAGGTTGCTGGCTGTCATTCAGTGAAAACTTTCTGCTTTGGTTATTAGTCAAAGTTGCCCATAGTTTGCATGGAAGACCCTTACTTATCTGCAAACACAAACACAATGCTAGCCAATCCTTTTTAGAATTAAAAAATGTGTCGTGCAAACCAGAGAGCATTCAAAGTAACGTTTACTTTAAAGCCAGACAGTCTTTGTTTCTGGCTTATGACACACTTTTTAGAGTTTCACTAGCTCCTGTGTATTTCTGTGCTAACTGTGGCAATCTGTTAGCAGCCAAAATAATCAGCAACCAGGCAGGAAATGCACATTTTTTTCCTTGCAACCAGTGGTTGCACTGATATGTGTGAATATATAGGAATCGATTTCAGAGCAACTACCACCAACCTCCAGCAACCACTTGCCAACCGGTCAGGGAGCACAACAATTTTCTTATAGTTGCGAGATGGTTGTCGACTGTTCTCTAGGCTGGTGTGTGACTTGGACTTCATTTACTTGACCCCAGACTGTTACACATCTGAAACAGTGGAACACTTAATATCATATGGTTACTGATCACATGACTACAAAATCAAAACTGATTATTCGATTGGTAAAAGCTTGAGTGACATTTTTAATTGATGACATATTTAATTAAAATCATTAGAAGCTCAAACGCTATTTGAGAGTTAGCCTAGTTTTTGAGCTCCCAATTTGAAAAAAATGATACAAAGAGGTAGAAGCCTTAAAAAAATAACCTTGAAAGTTATTGAGTAGGAAAGTCAATTTCTGGTGGTTTTTTTCCACTATTTTTTGTTTTCTGGAGAACTTCAGAAATTCCAGCTTCACAGTTGCCATCGAATGCAACACTATACCCAGAGCCAAGGGTGGTGTGAATATGCTCATGTCTCTCTTAGTGAGAAAGCAAAATGTCATAATTCCCCTCATGTGGACCTACTTAAGACATATACTCATCACAGGGATCACTGAATGAAATGATAGATGTTCAGTTCCCTCCTTTAAACTCAAATAAACAGCCTGAATTTTCAAGTGACATGTTAGAAGCTCAGTTCGTTTTACAGTGGATGGGGCTCACTGGTCAGCAGCAAATGGAGCTTGGCATGTGTGAAGTTGCACACTCACCACAGAATAAAGACTTAACTGAAGGTCTGTTGGTGCAAATGTCACCTGATGATCTCGCCACTCTTCCACAAACGTCCGCACGTTGGCTCCAGGGCCGTACGCACATGTGAATAAATCAATGTCTCTTCTGTCTGGCGCCCTTGTTGTCGTTGGCACCTGGGTTGTCACGGTAAACTGCTGAGACAGGGAGCCACTGAGCTGCAGCAGCCGGCTCAGACCCACACAGGAAGTGTTTAAAAACGGGTGTGTTTGTCCTAAAGATACCACGGTCACTGAGTGGCTGGAACATGTGGCAAACATTCATTCTTAGTGAACCTGCGGCTTCACAGCACTGCAGTCCTTACATGGACGTAATAAGCACAACCTCAGCTTCATTTTTGGTTATTTTTTATTGTCAGTATAGCAGGTCTACACAGCCATTGAGTGTAGGACTTGTTTTTACCCACATTTCTTTCTTCTTTAATAATTTGTGTGTTTCTTGTGTGGTGCCTCTGTGAAAACCTCACGCAGCTGTCCCGCCTATCAAACCTTGTGGCTGACGGACAGGACAGCCGCAGCTTGGACTGTGAAATTAACTAATCTCCTCACAGGAAACTCAGCAGGAGCAGCTGTCACAGTGGAAATGAAGCAGCAGGAGGGACCGGGTCTGCAGAGAACAACTGATAGGACCAAGAGGGGCTTCAAAACTCCTGCTCACAGGTACAACTTCCTTTTACGTAAACTACAAATTCGGCAAAACATCTTTTATTTTGTCCAACTATCATACATAACCACGAAATGCAACACATGCTATACCAAACAGTTAAGCAGGCGTGGGCCTTTAAGGCTTACAGGTCTCCTGTTTTTAATCTAATTAAGAAAAGTTACAATCTCCTGGTCATGTCGATGTAAATCACATTCTTACTGGTGAAGGAATAAGAAGCCCTTTGGAAACGCGTCACTTTCCAAGTGACTTTAATAAAAGTGTATAAAAATTAGGAAACTATTTAAGTTTTAGTGTGGAAAAGTGTTATAAAACGCCCTGTCTGAAATAGGTGCTACTTTCATGCTGAAATTTCATTAGTGTGGCATTTCAGTGGAACATTTTGGTGTCCAGGGCGGGTTTAAATGTCACTCTGCAGGTGTTTGTACTCAAAGTGGACAAAAAAGCTAAAGTTTTTTTGCCTGAAAATCAACAAATGCAGCAATATATGACACACTATGCGAGTTACGGCCGGCAATGATCATCAATGTTCAAAAATTTTGGTCTGTTAGAAGTCAGTCTATATGGCTATATATTTTTGTCTTCTTCAAGGCCTGGTGAGGGTCGTATAGATGGGCTGCTCCCAGCCAGAGGGAGGACTATGAGTAGGTGGTGCCAAGGCCAGGCTGTTGATCAGTGGGGTGGTGTAAGACCTGCGGGAGGAATGAAAGTATGGGTACTGATACAGGCTGGCGGGGTAACCAGAGAAAGCGCTGTAGAAGCTGGAGTTTTGAAGGTCGGTGTAGTCTGACTGGTTGGCAGACGAGGAGGTGGTAGGGGTGGAGGAAGGACAGATGCCCGAACCCAGGGATGTATACTCAGGTTGGTGTGACGGTGGTGGAGGACTTGAGGAGTTGTAGTGACCCGGGCTCATCCGCTCAGTTTTAATCTGAGGTTTTTGGCCGCCATCCTTGTGCAGCCCGTCGGTCTCACAATTGGAAGAGGGTAGCGGCATTCCAGCGGAAGTCCCACCAGACATTTTGGACGTCCAATTTTGGATGTTGGGAGCGTGACAGTCTGTGCTGGGTGGGATGAAAGTACCGGAGGGGTTGCTGGTGTCTGGCGGGGTTAGAACAGTGGCACCGTGGCTGTTTGGAGGCAGGTACTGGTCGAGCTCGTGAACGTCGAAGGCGTCGATGGTGCCGATGACGTCAGTGCTGAGCTCAGAGATGTCTACGTTACTGAAGTCAATGTTCTGACGGTTGGGAGGAGGAGCAGCGCTGGAGCTCATTGTGTCCACAGACTGACGGCTCTCGTGTTTGGTTCCCATGTGCAGGTCTGTTTTAGGGGTGGTGGGAGGTGTTGGAGGCCCGTGAGACTGACCTGGAACGCAAAATCAAGTGAACCTTAATCAGTTTTTTCACATTTAACTAAAAAAAGGGAAAAGAAAAGAAAAGAGTATCACAGTCTCATCACCTGTTCTGTCTGAATGGTAATGCTGCTCCACTTCCCCTGTGCCAGCCAGCCTGGCCACACCCGGGTCCATTTTATACAAGCCCTGCTTCTGCTGCTGCTGTTGGACCAGCGCAGGTCTGCAGTCGCCCTGGTCCGGTTTATTGCTCTTGCGTCTCCGAGGCTGGTACTTATAGTCTGGGTAGTCTTTTTTGTGCTGCAGCCTCAGCCTCTCGGCCTCCTCAACAAAGGGACGTTTCTCTGTTTCAGAGAGAAGTCTGAGGAGGACAGGGACAAGTCAGAGAACAACCGCTGGCGTTTCAAACACAGCAGGAAGCAAAAAAAAAAAAAAAACCACAGACAGACTCCTTTCATCAGTGATGTCAATAACTACAGTTATTCACATAAGTAATCACATAAGAACTCTATACATGTTACAGTTTTGTGTATTTTCCATTTCATTCTACTTTATATGAATACTCCATCACAGAAATACCCACTTACATACTTACTTACATAAGTGCATTAACGCAGGACTTCTTTATTTTACTTAAATAAAGAATATGAATATTTCCTTTTCTTAAAAAATCTACAGTTACTGAGACATGAAAGATGAACTAGCAGTTGTTTTTTTGTACTGTACAGATAAAGCCACAATGAAGTGGTTCCTGTGTGTATTACCACAACCACAAAATGATATTCCCGCCATAATAGCTTTGTTTATGCACAATCTGCAGGTTTTCTCTCATTTTACTGGAATTCTTTCTCCTTTTTGTTTGTTTCAGTGTATAAAACAGGCCTGTCATGATATTAGATTTACATTACATAATCGTGGTAATGAAAAAAAGGGGGGGGAAACGCACAGTAACATAGTAATTTAAAAAAAATCTATTGAATTCTACAAAAATGCAGATGCATGGAGGAGTCCAGAGTCTGTAACTCCAGAGATCAGTCATGTTCAGTCAGCGCAGTGTTTCAGTACTGTGCAGGTGCTCATCAGATGAAACTCAGGTGTACTCACCGCCACAGCTTTCCCAGCGTCTTGCTGAGCTCAGCGTTGTGCAGATGTGGATACTGGTCCGCCAGCTTCCTCCGCGCTGCCTGCGCCCAAACCATGAACGCGTTCATAGGCCGTTTCACGTGAGGTTTACTCTTCAGCCCCCTCTCCCCCAGACTGGGCACAGGCACCAGCGACCAGTCGTAACCTTTTAGCACCTGCGACACAGCGTCGCGAATGCAGGTAGGGAACCGCTCGTCTTCCGAGCAGCTCTCCAGTTTGGGCGTAATCCCGGGCGGGCGCGCTGCCTCCTGCGTTTCGGGCCTTACCGGAGAGGCCGGAGACTCTGAATCCGATCCATGCTGGGACGCAGACCCGTCGGTTCCCGCTGGACTGCATGCCTGCTGTGACAATGGCTTGTTCTCCTCAGTCATGTTTGGTGCTGCAAAGATCTACTGACCCCCACCCTCCAAAATCCCAAAGAGCTCTCTAGTTGCGTAAAGGCGCGCGACTTTGTAGAAAGAGTGTAACCCCGCGTAAATAACCAAAATCCCGGATTTGGTCTGTTGAATTTTTCCATTCCGTCTCACATCCTCCTCCAGGACCAGGCAAATTTTGACGAGGGACGGTTACATTCTACTCTTTGTAGCACTTTAGAGCTCATGTCACTCCACCCCTCTTGTCCTATTGGCTTGTGCAAAGCTTGAGTTTCTTCAGAGCCCCTGAGTAGTTAGTCTAGTGCTGTGATACTGCACACTTTGGTATCCAAGTAAATCCAAGGCCAGTACTGATACTAATACTGACTCTGATTCTTTTATCTTTTAAAGCCAGCTTAACTAGGGGAGAGCATGTCATGATTTATGAGATGAATCATTCTGAACACATATTAATGACCAAATCACTGTGATTGCTACTTTCCACAATAATTAGTTACCACATCAAATCACTTTCATGTATTTCATTATTTTGAAACTGGGTTTTTTGAAGTAATTGAATATAAAAGTGCCAAGCTTCTCTTGTTTAAATGTGATATAGGCAATAAATTAAAAACATCATAGGCAACACACAAAGAATCAGATATTTTCTACAGTTCATGTCTGAGATATATGTTTTCACACAAATAAAGCAAAAAACATTAACATTGTTCAGTGGGCTACATATTGATGTCATACCAATACCACAGTTGTTGTTGATAAAAAAACAAAAAACAAAAAAAACAAACAAACATCAGCACCACCTTCAGTAAGTAAATGTAAATGTATTCCATTATTAAAAATAACTGCATGCACATTTATTCTCTTTTTTGGATTCTATGAGGTGTGAAAACCTGTTCCACTGCTTACCTTTCAATTTCTTTTTCTTTTTTAGAGCTATTATTGCTGAGCTAATTCCCAGATGAATAACTGATTTATTTCATTGTTCAGTAGCTAATCTTTATTCTTCAGCTGTTATTTTCTTTTTAAATGTATCAGTAAGCACCTCATTACTCTTTATACTTTACAAAACAACATCGTTTACTGCAAGCAGGTGACAAGTTAATGGAAAAGTCAGTCTAAGGAGCTGAGCTACCACACGTCCACAGAGAAGCCTCAGTGCACCTCGGTGTGGATTCTCCAAGTCTCTGGAAAACTACTGGAGGGATGGAACATTATTCTTCCAAAAGATATTCCCTCATTTGGTGTTTTTAAAGTGGCGTTGGAGAGCAGTGCCGCTCCAAAATCTTCCATAGTTCTTTCGGTTGGTTCTTGAGACACCTCATGCCCTATGGTCAGTTTGGAGGAAACCACTCCTGTTAGGACGGAAATGTTTCATCATAGTGTAAAGGTGTTCTTTCAGAACAACTCTCTGTTCATTTTCAGTGAACCTTCACTGTAAGACCCAGAGTGACTGCAGGCGGAGTAAAGAAAGTGTAGAGAAAGCTAGGAAAAACATAGAAACAAGAGTCTTTATTCTGCTAAAATTCCACTTGTATTCCTTACCTATTGATAAAAACAACAAATTAGTTAGTTTGCTTAAAAATATTATCCCAACTTGCCCGATGAGGCTGTGATGGATGAAACTGTGGATGTCAACAAGACTGTGATTCAACAGATTTCAAAAAGTTCAGTGTTTTTATTGTAATTGGTTTTGATAAATCTTGCCTCTGACATATGCCCTATATTTAATAATAATTAAAAAGACCAATATTAACAATGAAACTAATAAAAAACTAAACTACAATAAAAACTTCTCATACAATAAAAACGAACTAAACAACAAAACAAAAGCTCAAAATGAAAAAAGTCATATTATAAAATACAAAAGTATAATAATAAAAATAATATTGGTAATAGTAATAAAACCTATAATAGTTCTAACCTGTGATCTTCATTTCAGCGTCTGAAGAGGGGAATGCCAGAAAAACTCTGACTGGAGAGGAGAGAAGCAAAATGCCTCTCAAACAGCTTCAGGTACAAGAATCCCTCAATCCTGGTTTATAGATTTCTCTTTAAATTTGTCATCTTAGGCAACTGGTAGATTCAGAACATTTGTACTACGGAAGATCCGTTTAATTCCAATAAATTAAATTTAAATTGGTTTTGAAAAAAATGTATACGTTATACATACAAACCGTATAATATCATTAAATGTAAAATGTAATAATAATAATAACAATAATAATAATAATAATAACATACTTCCGCGTCTGTTCTGTCACGTGACCGTGACATCCTTAAACATGGCGGAGAGCGGTGAACGTGCAGAGATCTCTGTGAGGAAGAGACGTGTTGGCAGTAAGAGAACAGAGACAGACTCCGCTGTTAGCGGTGGAGAAGATGGAAAACACTCCAGCAGCGACGCAGAGAAAGAGAAGCCGCTTCTGTCCTTACAGCCCGGGACTTACTGGCTCACTCGCATTGTGCTGCTGCGCTCCGTCGCCTTTATTTACTGTATGTTGACATTTACGGTCTGCAGTCAGTGTGTGTGTGTGTGTGTGTGTGTGTGTGTGTGTGTGTGTGTGTGTGTGAGATAGTTTAGCTGTAGGGGTTTACTTTTTTAGTCATTAGCATGACAGTCACAGTTTAGTGCCACGGTATCTTAACGCATGCGCACTTTACTGTAAATAAAACTTGCAATTAGTGAATGTACCTACACGTGTGTTTGGCAGTTTTTTTAACTACTGTTATTAATGCTCGGTTAGTTTCTGATAACCATTCACTTGAAACACAGGGATGGCGCAGTCAAGGAAATATACTAATCCCATGAATGTGAACGTCAGATGAGTGAATGAGGCAAGTTGTGTAAAGTGCTTTGAGTCTAGAAAAGCGCTATAAGAACCAGTCCATTTATCACGTGTTCTGATTTTACTGGTGCTTCTTGCAAAGAGCTGAGCTTACAACCACCACCACCACCAGCGTTTTACTCACATCATAAATAAGCCCCCACCTGAATAGCTCCTGTCAGGACAGCTGTGCCTCATGGAGAAGTTTTCTCTTTCATTTGAGAAAAATAAAATAAACTAATTGCTTCTGTCTCACAAACAATTTCATCTGTTTTTTAGTTGTGGCCTTCAGTGTTGCTTACAACCAGAACAAGCAGCTGATTGGTGAACATGGCTTGATGCCCTGTAAGAGCTACCTCAGAAGTGTCAAGCGCTATGTTGGGGGGAAGATCGGAATGGCCGCCATGGCGTACACCCCCTCCGTTCTCTGGTTCTTTGACTGGAGCGACATGGACGCCAACCTGGATGGCATCGCCCTGTTGGGGATGGCGCTGTCAGGGTTTGTCCTGGTGATGGGAATGGCCAACATGGTGATCATGCTCACACTGTGGGTGCTATACCACTCCCTGGTCAACGTAGGACAGCTGTGGTAAGTGTTGGTTAAATCATGCTTTCACTCTCAATAAAACTGGATTAAAAATGTTTTAATGTAGAGCACCTAATCTTAAAGATTGATCAGATAACTTTTTACAGCCAGATTTGTAGAAATCTTCAAAAAACTTTATAGAAGATCTGAAGTTGTAGCCAAATTTAGTGAGTAGAGAAGCCCTGATTGGAAAGTTCTGGGTTGATATTAATGTTTGAAACTATTAGATTTTGAAAAACCATTAATTTACTCCTCAGACTGTAAAATAAGTTTCGCATTCCTGCTACAGTGCTTTTAATGTGGGAAAAAAAGGAAGTCTTGTTAGAAAAAAAAATATAATATATCACTGGGAGCAGAATTTGAGTAGTGAAACGTGGCTACGTAGAGGGCTGTGCAAAAGTATCAAGCCGACTCATTTCTTTACATTTTGATTCAGAATTCTCATTTTTCAGTGATTTCAAACCATATTTCTCCAGGCTTTTCAAAGGTCTCTAAGTATTTCTTTAAGTCCTATCAATCATTTAAGTATAATAAAACACCTAACTTGCATTTTTAAACATATAACTGTGTGTGTGTTCGTGTGAGTGACTCAGAAAGAATATGTAGGTTCAGGCGACTTTTACGATGGAATATTTTTTTTGCATATTAGTCACTACAAGATTTCAAGTGAATTCATTATTAAGTGTATGCTATTGCATTGCATAGCATACAATCAGTTATGATTGGATGTTTCCGTGTTTAAAAAGATAAGATTATGTGAACTATTAATGTTGTAGGTCCTAATTTGAAGCGCTCATGCCCGCGCTTATATTAGCATAAAGCATACATGCATTTAAAAACATTCCCTATAAGATGATCCCACAGTGATGGTTACCATAGTCAGCTGTCAACTTCTCTACTAGACAGCAACTACATATTTCATTTCTTGTATTCATGTTGTGACTTATTTTTCCGCAAAGCATTTTGGCTGCCCAGCGTGTTTGATCTCTCCTGACACCAAACAGTCAGAGTTTCACAGCATTAACCTGCTTCCTTTTTCTCTTTCCAGGTACTCCTTTGGTAAGTGAACTTCCACAGAAGCTTCCTTTGTTTCGCCTCCAAAAAGAAGTGGATTTGAAGGAAAGCATTAATGTGAGACAGGTGTCTGTGTCATTTATATTTTCATAAAAGGTGAAACTGATTCTGTGAGATGTTTTAAACATGTGTTGAGCAACACTTTTTAGAAAAATCGAGTTACGGGTCACAATTTGAAGAGGTGGATTTAAATAGTGCTAAAGATCATCAGTGTTTGATCCTTTTCTTAAAAAAAGAAACAGAATTTTAGTGTGTATTATTGTTATTATTATTATTTAGAGTAAAAGTGTAGTTCATGCTGCTTTTTATTAATGTGTTTTTGGTTGAGTGGTTGTTCTTTGGTAATGCGAGGGCCTGATTGAGTCCTTATGTTTGTATTTAGCACATGTTCCTTAAACCAAAAGCACATCTATACTGACACATTGCGTTTATTTAGAAGCCTATGACTGTAAGGCGACTTGACATATTTGTAAAGATGAGCCAGTCTTATTACAAAATTCAGTAGATATGAAGATATGCTGCGAAAAAATCAACTACTTTGTTTGCAGCTTAGAGTGAAAACTTAGTATATTGTTTTTTAACGGGGTGAACCCAATAAACTGTCATGGCTATGATGGTAAAGATGGCGGCGGGGGGAAGTATAAACATGAGGTTGCATGTAGAGCTTTGGCCCAGATAAGTGGTGAGGTCAGCGGCAGCGCCGTGATTGCCTAATGACACTTTGTAGTCAGAGACGCCAGGCCTGTGTCTGTGTCTGTGGTTGGGCTGTGGCTTCTATTACCCGAAAAAGAAAATTCCTTTTCTCTCATTCTGCTGCAACTTGGACTCATCATCACACTCTGGCTGACAGTGGAGCTGAAAGTCTGCAGATGAAGGTCCACTGTTCCCATATTAGTGCACTTAGCACTAATATTGGGTTGTTTATAGACATTTCTAGACTATAACATTAGAATTTTAATAGGTGATTCCAATTTAAATATTTGTTTTTCTTCAGTGCTTGAAACAATTCCAATCCTAATGAGCATATGCAAACCTAAAAACGTAACGTTATATTTGCTAAACATAAGCACTATCATTGTGAGCATATTATACTGACACTGCCATTTAGCTTCCAGTAAAATGTCAAAGTATCTCTGGGAAAAAAGCTATTAGGTAGCCCGTAATAAGTGTCTTTGACCAGTCTGCTGGCGACCCATGTCGAAATACGGTTAGAGGTGGTTTCATTTTAGCAACATGACTTTTGCAAGCTGAAATATTTTACACTTCAAATGATGCCTCATGTAGTCCTGAAATAAGGATTTAACCCCCAGTTGAATTCACAGTTTTAAACACAAAGAAATGAGCAGCTTAGGTCAGTGGTTGGTTTATTTCTGTAGTGAAAGACAAATTATCTACAAAACAATCAAGAATGAATCATTCTGCCACAGTTAGAAATTAATGGGAATTTCAGAGAGACAAATAACTGGAACTCAAATTGACTACTTGGTAGAGTAGCCGTTGTCAAGCAGAGATCTTTGCTGACCTCGTCGAAATCCTCAAGGCTTTTAGGTTGTGGTTTGGAGATACAAAACTTCAGCTTTCTGTCTCATCTTTAGCGGGTGTCTTCTTGAGCTTTTGACTTTGAAGTATGTTTTGGATCATTGTTTTGTGGGAAGGCCCACCCACGATGCATTTTCAGTGTCCTGGCTGAGTGAAGGACATTCTTATCCAAGACTTTTCCATTTTTTTTCCTCAGTGTGATGCAGGGATTTTATAATATTGGCAGAAAAAGACCCCCAAAACATAATGTTTCCACTGCCATGTTTGAGTGTTTTTAGGGTGGGAGTCAAAAATTATTATCCCGCAAAGTACAGGAAGTGGATTGATGCCATCACAAAATAAAAAATTATAGACTGAGTGCTCAAAATTATGAATTCAGCAGCAAATCAAATACTTATTTCTCTTACTGTACATGCATGACAGTCGTGTTATAAGCTTTTTCACATATGTATGGCAGATAGGCAAAAGATCCACACACTTAGCCATTAAATAGGTTTGCAGTGACCGCTTGGAGGTTCAGCAGCAAAAACCAATCACATTAAAGCTGTGTTTTTGTTTCCCATCACTACTGATATTCACCCTGTTATGGCAATAAGTTGGGGTCACAATACATTAATCGGCTGGAAAATGTTACTCCCTATTTTGGCAAAATTTAGAGTTCCTCTCCAACTTTGACAAAGATGTGCTTCTTCAGTTACATCCTGACTTTGACTCCCAGAAACACAGTTAATGTGGCTTTATCAAGTACATTACCAGACAAACGTGTGCCATTCCTCTCATATTTATTGATATTGTTCCAAATCAGAAATTTGACGTCATGTTGTTTTCTTGGGGCGTGCATGTGTTACTTTGTTGACCTGAAGTGTAATGTTCCTGCACCATTAAAGCAGTATTAGCTCTTCTGTGCTATAACACACTGAGCCTGCGTTAAGTAAAGCAGGTCATTGATGATCTTCTGATTGTTTGTGCAGGTTGGGAGAGTCAGCTGTTGGAGACGGGCTTCCTGGCTATTTTCTTGTGTCCGGTGTGGACTCTGTCCCAGGTTCCCCACCGGTGCCCCCCGTCTCTCATCTGTATCTGGACCTTCAGATGGCTCATTGTTCGCATCATGCTGGGGGCTGTGAGTATAGCAGTTTATAAATACACAGAAGAGATGTCTGCAAATTTATAGATCATTTATTGCATGCCGTTAAAACAAGAATACAACTGCTTTGACAGTAAATTTTAGGAAGTAATTTCAAACAAATTCACAATAACTGAAAGATAAATGAGAAAGCTTACCTTTGTCTTCCATTTGTGTGCATATATCTTCTTCCAGTGGCTGTTAAAGTTTCTAAATTAAAAGCCTGACATAAACGCATCTCAGTCATGTGAAGAAATGAAACAGTTTCTGAGCAGCGTAAATGTCTGTCATCGGATTTTAGACTGTTACTTTTGGGTTTTTGCTATTGAGCTCTGCCAGCAGCCGGTGATGCCAAAACAAATATACGGTTGACTAAACAATATGTCTCTTTGTTTGACAGTTTCCATGGTGAATTTTAGACCTCTGTCTGTGTTTTATCTGTCAATCACTGTTTTCCACAGATTCAGTGGCATTTTTTCAGTTAAGACCACAAAGCGAGCTGAAACGCAGGGAGCCCCCTACTCAGCGCTTCACTGTAAAAGGCTCTCATGGCGTATTTCATTCTCTGATGTACAACGTCAGAATGAATGTTGAGTTTTGTTGCTAAGGGCTACCGTTATTTGAAAGCACCTCAGTTATGCTACAAAATGGTCACTGCATAAGCAAAATGAAAGTGCTGTTATTTTTCAGAAGGCATAAGCAAACTTTAATCTTTTAAGAAAAGATTGAGAAAGTTTTTTTTGTTCTGCTCTTTGTGCCACCAAGATACGCGTATCTTAACAACTGACTACTGACCAAGGAAACTACTAGAGATCATGGTTTCAAAGGGGAAAATGCAATGACTTTGGTTATTTCCAAATATTTCATTTATAGGCTGGCATTTAGGCATTCAGGTAAAATTTCCTGACAAGTATTAGATATGCAGATATTCAAAACACTTAGAGGAAATGTGATGGTGATGATGATGATGTCTGGGGCTTAAATTTGTTCACTTTGTTGTTTATTGACTACATACCTCCAAAATTGTGACTAAAAACTGAGAGTATATTATTTTTCTGTGCAAAAAAAGAGAACTGCTATTACTAGTGGAATTATTTAGATTTTAATAATTATAAAATTTTATAATTTTAATCTCAAGTACTTATGACGAGTTGTTCTGTTGCAGTGTGCTGCACAGATATACTGCAGTTTTGATAAAATGCATCAGCTCTGCTTGCTTTCCTCAGTTAAATGAAACCAGCTGCTGCACGTTATTGTTCAGAGTACACAGTGTTAAGTGTATGGATTTATAACAATGGGTGATGTTCTGGGCTTTAGCTTTACAAAATATTAGATGAAATTATTGTTGGACCTGATTAGTATCTAGTCAACTGATCACCCTCTGTCTAATTGGATTAGCTGATTAGATTTTGTTGATAATTTATTTTGTAACGTTGTTAAGAATGTCAGAACTTTAAGGTTAAGGTCCAAATAGCATTCACATGCTCCTTTTGTCAGGAAATCAAATCCAGATGATAAACAGTAAACAAAGGAACCACACTGACTGTATATTGTCTTACTTTGAAGCTCTGCTGCACATTTTCTACTATGATTATGAGATGAACTTTCCTATATTTTAATTTTTCATGTGAAACGTCCATCACGGGTTTGATGACCTTATAGTGGGAGAGCTTATGATGGTCCAAACTGAGGTCTGCTTAAACGTTACAAAGACTCAGCAACTTTTCAGCAGTGTTAATTGCAGTGCTGTTCCTCCCACAGTGTTTGATCCACCCTGGCTGTATCTATTTATCCATCTGAAAGCACTGCGGTTCAATGCTGTTCTTTGACTTATATATTTGTGAGGATGACAAAGGTTAGCATGTACTTTTAAGGTCCGTGAAAATATAGGAGATGGGTTGCGTATGAGCCCATCACTTTTTATTTATTAATTTTTTTAAGCAATGAAATGTCCTACAATGTCGCACAAGTCATTTTTCACAATAATAATTTCATAGCACATGCTATTGCTGTAGCATCTAATATTTTTAATATATTAAAAAGGAAAGAATTGGACTATAAATGCATTAACCATATATTATTAATTGGGATGGGCTAATAAGATAACAGTTTAACTAAATGTAATTTTCCGCTTGTCAGCCTTTACCATTGAAATAAGTACATAAATCATTTTAACATCCTTGATAAAAATTTATACCCTGCTCTATTTAAACACGCCTTACCTTAAGCATAAAAATCCAATTTAAAAGTATACATAAATGCCTTTGTTTTCTTGCTTAACGTTGTTATATAAACCAGATTTCCCCTGCTAATCTTGATTAGAACCATCTCCACTGTACCTTCTGTAGTAAGTAATTACCTCATTAAAACAAGGGGAACTTCCAGCACACTTGCACACACAGAAATGCCCCAGCAGTTTATAAAAATATCACATGACTGTATTTTATGCTAAACAACAGTGTTGACATTAAAATGTTTTAAAAATGTTGTTGTAATTATTACACGTTTCCCCCTATTTGTTTCCTAATTAGCGTAGCTTAACATATTTAATACATCTTGCACATTGAGGTGGCATGTTAAGCTGCTCGGATGCATTTCAATTTGTGCCCTAGCAGCTTGTGTGCAGCAGCAGTAGACTGTGAGGTTAATCAGGCAGAAAGCTACAAAATGTGAAGCTAATTAGATTTCAGAAGATCGAGTTGGCTCATTAACTATGAAGCTCTGTAAATACTCTAAATATAAAGCGTTTTCACAAAAGGGGATAAAAGCCTCATTTTAAATTCTGATTGATGTTCAGCCTTATAGACATTTAGTCCCTTCTATATCTTAAAGGTAAATTAGATAAGTGACCCTCAAATGAAGTCTCAGTGTTGTAAGATGTGATGCTTTTTCAGTACAGTGTTGGGTAGATACATTTTTGAGTATAAGCATGGTATGCTTACTTGATCAAACTTTTGTATGAGGACTAAATTTCTCATGTTACCAAGAATATTGACAACAAAGTCAAGTAATTGATAATAGATCCTTCATCTTAGCTTGCTAGCTGTTTCCTGATGGTTTAGTTGTAACTTTAAATTAAAATTGGTCTTGAAATGGCCTTCTAAGTTTGTTCATAGTAGAGTTTGATCATACTAATCACTGAGGGTATAACAACAGCCGCCCCCCCAGTAAATTCCTGAGAGTTTAAAAGCGCCTCTTAATAGATGAAGGCAGTAAAAATACTGGTGTTGATATTTTTTTTTTGTCAGAGAATCAATAAATTATTAAGTTCTACTGTTGCGTATAGTGATTGTAAATGCGTTGTATTATAATTTTTTTGCTTGATCAAACATTTCCATTAAACACAGCAGCTGTAGGAAATATTTTGCTAGGTGTGGTTTGTGGCTTAAATTGGCTTTATAGAGTTAACGGTGTGTAACGTGAGCTGATATCACATTTAGACTTTGGTTCTTGTGTTGCTGACACGTTGATTCGCCCAGACTGTTGGTGCACATCTGGTCGACTGGGATGGATAGACCCTTATTGCCTGTTATAATAAATAGATGTGGGTAACAATGAGTTCAAGGTGTACAAGAGAAGCTGCTCATGATTCCTGGCTGAATGACATTTTGGCTGTAACTGAAGATATGTTTAAGTAGAAGTCCAAATTATTAATACTGAAAGACTGACGTGGATTAAGGCTTTCATACAGTCCAGCTATGAGTCAAATGTAACTCAGACCTAACTTAAGTGTGAATGAGAGCAGCAAGAATGAGCCAAAAGCAATATTGAGATTGTAAAAAACCCCCAAAAAAGATGAAAGACGCTAAAGAGCTGCTTGGTGCTAATAGGAATTGCACTGTAAGATAGTAATTCTCTGTTTATTCAATAACTACTAGCGTCAGGTTTCTGACAGCAGTCATTGTATTCATTGCCAGCAAAACAATATTGATTATAGCAGCTTTAACTCTGAGTTCTGAATCATCATAGGTGATAACCCTAACTTTGTATCACAGAGGAAGGCAAACATGTTTTCTGGGGACAAATGCCAACAGTTTTTGATTTTTCTTTGTTCCCTGAATTATAAGACTTGGGAGAATAATTCAATTTAAAAAAAAAAAAAAGAAGAACAACTTTGCAAAAAAATTAAGGAAATTTGTATCTGGTTGACAATGTTTTTGCAGCACTGTTTCTTGGCTATAAGTCTTATACCCCTGTATCTACATATTTTCCCTTTAAATGGAGCCACATTTGTAGGGAAAATACATTTGTGGGCTGCAACCATGATACGTTTCTCTGTCAGTGCCAAACAGCTTATTCGGTTATTGAATCTTGTTTTGAGCTTCTGGTACTCCAGGTGCAGCTAATCGGGTGCCTGACTGGCAGCTTGTGGACCCTGCTACAGGGGTTAGTTGGCATCTGCTCCAAGGATGCCTTGTTTACCAGGATGCCACGTTTGATTGATCTGGAGAGGCCATAGGGCAACTTCAGGCTGGTGTTCCACAAAACAGAGTTGGAAAATTATTTGGAGTGAGTTCTAGTACCATCTCCAAATTGAAGTCGAGTTCTATATAACTGGGAATGTCAGAGACGGGCTTTATTCTTCTGGTGGTGTTGTCTCCCAAAGAGACCTGTCATCACTTAGGAACCGTAGGCAGTGTTCTTCAAATTTATAGTCAAACTTTGAAGGAAGATACGGCCGACGACTCTGCCCAAACAATCCACAAGAGATCACACACAATCCATCTCTGCTCTCACAGTCCTGCCAGGAGGCCTTCCATGACTGCCCTGCACCATCAGGCCCATTTGTGCTTGTGTCGACAACACGTGCACTGGAACATGTCTGCAGTCCTGACCTCAACCCCACTGAACACTTGTGGGATCACCTTGGGTGTGCTGTTCGTGCCAGAGTGACCAACACAACAGCACTGATCTCAAATGCTGGCTGAGCAGTTGGATGGCATCCCACAGCAGTGTGTGACCAAGTAGAGGTGTCAGGCTGTTGTGGCTGTGTATGGCTCTTCCACATTCTACTTGTTAAACTGCCAGTATGTCTTCTTTCTTCAGACTTTAAACATCCTAAAAATGACACCAAACAAGAGTCAATAGGAGAATAAGCTGTTTGCCATTGGCAGGGAAGATCTGAACAACCCACATACTCTGCTCTCCTGCTCAATGCACAGATGCATTTTTCTTACAGGGGCACCATTTCCAATGGTATACAATTTATTGCTAAAAAGCATAGTTACAACAAAATAATAATTGATAAAACACAAATGTCCTTAGTTTTTGTGCTAAGTTTAGATATTATGATTGCCTAGGGTCTGAGTTAGAGTTTGGATTACAATCATGCTTGGGCTTTTAGTCAAGGATGCCTTAAACCTCCTAGAGTTAAGCCTTTAAGCTCATGACAATCAATGGACTGAAAATGTTTGATGATTCATTACCATTGTGTCATTGGCATATGTTGATGATATTACTATTTACTTTTGATAAGTGGCTTCCTGTTTGACTTCCAAGAAAGGCCTTCTTAGAGTAACAGTATGTTTTCATTCATGTTGGAAAAATGCCATGTCAAACAAAGCCATGTAACACCAGTACTGCTGTGGCATTAACACCACAGTTCCTCTTTTCTGTTTTTATAGTCAGATTTTCATTGTTTGAATCCAATGGATACATTTGTATCCAATTTTCTTTCTTAATAAAATTTTGAGCGGATCATAGTTGTGAAAGGTTGAATCTCTCTGGTGTTCTTTGCTGAGTTGACAGGTTTATATCCTTTCCCTAAGGCCTCTTGATACTGAAGAGATATCTGTTTATGTCAGAGGTTTGTATGTTGGGTAGTAATTGATGACATTTCAGAATCTCATGACTGAATTGAATTATCAACAACATCTTTGGCTTCATCACCTCAACAGCCAGCAGCCAAGTTTGTAATCAGAAAGAAATGTCCTGGTTTTTGTAAATCTGGTTAGAGGTTAGCAGGCGATTTATTCCAAATTCCACGTCGACCACATGACAGGCCGATGTGTCAATATTGACACTTGGGTCCTGGATAGTGTCCTGTTTGCTTAATTCAGTTGGTGGAAAACAAGCCCTGACATTGCATTTCTCTGCATTTTGGGCTTAGTTTGAATCATTTTTTTGTTTTTTCTTATTTTATTAAGGGAAAATCCTCAGTGAGGGCCTATGGTTAACTTTTTATTACAGTCATAATCTGCATCATCAATTTAGAAATACCGTGGACTTCTAACAACAGACTTGTGATTCAGTAGCATGACAATTTCTTTTGGCCAAAAACACTCCTAGAGCTCCATAGGCTCCCCCCCCCC